CTCGTTCCAATAAACGAATTTGCTTTTAGCCGCAAAAAGCCTCCTTTTGCGGCTGGGGTTATTCTAATAATTGAGTTAAGGAATTCAACCCTTAAGAAAGAACCAAAGAAAAATTTTCACATTCAATCCAGCACACAGTAACACCACATAACAACTCATTTTCTTTGCTACTTTCTTTTATTAGACAATGGGCGGTGGTAAAACCTTAAAATATACCTATAATTCCCTTCAAGAATACCATTCATATAGAATTAAAGGGAACTAGGCAATATGGAAAGGAACTGAAAAGAATTGAGAAAGAAAAGACACCAATTTAAGAGTTATTATTGTGAGGGTTGTCAGCAAAGAAAACCCTGTGGGAAGTTAGACCACCAATATTGTTGTCCTTGCCAATTTCAAATCGAGCAAGCAAAAGCCCAAGGATATAATACTTATAATGAAGTATTAGCCAGTAAGCATATAGACCAGGAAAAGAGATTTTGACAACTACAACTTTTAAGGAGTTATCCCGGTTGTAAACAGTGCGGAAGTTTAGCCGTGGATGCTTATATTTTGTATGAGGATAATCGATTAGTTTGTCAGCCTTGCCGAATGAAAAAAGAGGGTAGTGCTAGTAGTCCGATTAGTTTTTTCGAGCAAAGTAAGTGATATAAAAAGAGGTGAGGGATTGACTTGATTGAGTGGTTAGAAACTTATCAGGGTTTACCAATTAATAAGAATTGTGCGGATGAATGGTTAAAAGATAAGGGGCATTTAGATAAGTGCCAGTGTTTAGAACAAGAAGCCCAAGAACTTTATCTTTTATTTGCTAATTCTTTACGAAAAATGGAAGAAAATTTAAGCAAGTGTGCTTGTGAAAATAGCCAAAAAGTAAGGGTTAGTAGTGATGATTATGCGTGATGTGAAAGTTGCGATAAAACTATTGAAGTAGCCAGGAAAAAAAGAGTAGTAAAGAATCGGAATGACCCAAGATTTTGAGGGTTGAATATTAAAGAAAGGGTGCTATGCGGGGACTGCTTGGCTAATTGAGTAGAGAAAATGCCTACTAGTAAGAAATATACCTTTAATAAGTATGAGAAAAGGGGATATTGGAAGTAGTAAATTGGCAAGTCCAAATTGAAAGAAGCCTATCACACCTTACTAAAATAATAATATACATAGTCATAGATTTGGTTATGTTTTGATGTGAGCTAGTTAGTTAGAGATTGGGTTTTGGTTGACCTGTGTGTTTCCTAACTAGCCACCATGAGAACATAATCTCTAAAACAAGGATACTAATATAAAGGGCTAAGCCATAGTAATCTAAGCACTTAGGTCAAGAAATAGGAAAAAAACGAAGTAATATTCCCAGTATAATAAGCTGGTGCTAATTCTTGTAAGTCCTAAATGGCGAAATGCGAGTGGTGATGCGCTAGAAACACACTAAACAACCAAGGCGAAAAGCCAGCTGATTTGTGCCAATGTTTCACTGACAGGAAACTTTATACGAACAAGTGTTCTGCTCGTCCGAACAGAGTTAAAAATAAACGGACAAACCCCCCTTTTTTGTATGTCCGGCAGGACATTTTTTTTATATAACAAGGATACTAATATAAAGGCACTTTAATCTCTTTGTAAAAAATTAGTTTACTACTGAGATAGAGTTGTAGAGAAAGAGAGCAAAAACAATTATATAAACAACATGGAAACACCAATGGATAACTTCAATAACTTTATGAACCAAATGCTAGACAAAGAAAAACAATACATCCAAAAGATAAAGAGACAAAAAGAACTATGGCAGTCGTTCCAAGAGGTCTATGCTAATTGAAAAGTAAAAGACAAGGAGAATTTAACTCAAAAAAGCCCCTTGTTAACTGCTATCAAAGAAAGTATTCATGACCGCCATTAAAAACCTTCTTAATCAGGAAAGTAAATTAACTGAATTTCACAAGAATATCAAATTGGAAGGAATTCGGATCCGAATTGAAGCCGAAAGAGTTAAGGCAATGTGGTTGGAGGAACCTAACCTTTATGAAGAGTTTATGGATTTAGTTGAGAAGGCTCTTGCGGAAACTACTGATCCTAAACTTCAAGCCGAGATTAGAGAAAGTGTGGAAAGGGTTAAGAAGTCTCGGGAGAAACTTACGGAAGGTTGAAAAGATATGTTTTCTTAAAAAAATAGTATTCCCAAACTGCTTAGGCTTTTTATAAATTGAGTTGCTGAATGTTGAGGAAAAAAATACAAAGAACTCTATGGATAACAGTCTTTTTCACAAAATACTTAGGAATTTGTGTTAAAAATATCCAGTAGTCCAGCAAGTTTTTACTATAAAAATAAATTAAAAAACTGTATGGAGAATAAGAACCATGACAAACCAACATATTCACCGCAATCATTCTACAATTGCTTCCACCTGAAAAGAGGAGAAATTTAGGCGACTTTTAGATACAAATTAAAAACTTTAAAAAAACAGTTCGCTAATTCTGTTAAAAATTGGCAAAAACATTAAATATAAGATATAAAAAATAAAGTAATATGAAATTAAATAGAATTTTTGGAATAGCTGTATTGACTACTTCAATAGTAGGTAGTGTAGCTGGAAAAGCAACAAAATATGGTGGAGTAGCCGTTGAATATGGTTCTGCTGGTTTAAAAAAAGTTTTCGAAACTACTGAAAAAGTTGGTTATTATGCTAAAAAGACTGGTGAATTTGTAGAAAGCACTTCCCAAGATTTAAATAAGTATGCTAATGATTACTTAAAGAAAGAAGAGTATCGAAACCTAAATGAAGTTTATAATTTCAGAGGTAAGATAGTTGAAAATGACTGGATACTAGTTAATGAGTTGAAAGTTAAATAAATCTATATGACCGAAAAAGAAAATAAAAGTAAATAAAAAGTCAAAGTCAAAAGAAGGTGGTTAAAAGTATCTCGTTCCAATAAACGAATTTGCTTTTAGCCGCAAAAAGC